GATGCCAGTAAACTTAGGAAGGGAGATTGGCTTTAGTTTAATGGCCGGTGTTGAGTAGCTTATGGAAGCCGAAGCTTCAGTCACCACTCTTTCGGCATCATCTATGGCTTTTGCTTGAATAAAATCTACTTTTCTTAAAGTTACCATAAGAAAGACCTGCTCAAGTCCTCGTATGCGACACTGGAAGTCTTTCTGCTCAGTGGTAGGGGCCCAGCATTTCCACTGTGTATACAGCTTCTTCACCATTTTAACAAGCCTTTCTAGATGGTCGAGCATGAAGTCAAAGGCCTCTTTCTTCCCACTGGGTTTGATGGATGACACACGCTCTGCTTCATCCTCTGCAGCCTTTACCACCATAATTAGTTCCTCTTCTCCAAAGCTGGTCCAAAGTGTTCCCTGGATGAGGTCTCTCAGCTCCTTTAGTTTCATCTCACATTCACTTGCCGTTTTTTGTATATCAGCCTTCTGCTGCTCATTCAACACAGGAACGTCTGCATCCAACTCCACTTCTGCAAGATACTGGGCCTCCACATCATCATTTGCCTCTATGACTTTGTTGGCCTCAATTGTGAGTTTTTTTAAACTGTCTCTGAGCTTCTCTTGAGACAGTACTTTGCACATCCTAACAACATTATTGGCCAGCCGGGAGAATTGGCTTTAAGCTGCTCCAGTGACTTTGAGTCAGCCATCCTCTATTCCAGCAGAATGCAGGTCAAGGGATGGTTTACACTTCTTTATTTCAGTGTCTTACCAGGTTTCTGGCTTTCCAGGCTTAGCCGGTTGCTGTTCTGATCTCTTTTCCAGTCTCCACAGCGGTTTTTCATTAAGTGGCTTCACCATTTACAAAGTTTCAATGTGCAGAACTCTCCCACTTGATAAGACAGCCCACTACAATAATTCCACCAGATTCCACTCATTGACCATACTTGCTTTCTTTTATTTTTCGATGCAGTGATCAATCAGCCAGTCATTAGCCAAGCAGGTGAAAAACCTTTAGACAAATACAAACACCACTGTAAGAGCACTAATAAATATAATAAAAAATACCAAAGCAAAACTTGTATACAAAAATTCTTTAAATTAACAAAGAATATCATACAAGTAGACAACAGATAT